AAAAATGTCAAATTGAGCAAAATGAGGCATGGCTAAAATGCATGATCTGTTTGGTATTTTGAAAAAAAAAAAGTATAAATATGCCTTATATACTGTACAGTAGGTATGGTCCTACACTATATTATTCAAATATAGCATGATAGGTCCACTTTAAATGGGCCGATATAATGACTTGCTTCAATGGTCCATTTAGTGACTCAGTCCAATGGGCCTATCGAAAAAAAGGTCCCAATGGGCCTATCTAATAACTACATTCAATGGGCAAAATCAAATGGTGAGATTACTTTGGTCCAATCAAATGACTCGATTCAATTGGCCAATGAAATGACTTGATCCAATTAAATGGGCCGATCAAATGAGTTGCTTCAGTGTTCCATAAAGTAGATTACTCCGATGGGTCTATCAAATGAAAGGATTCCAATGGGCCAACCAACTGCCTCTGTTAGTGAAAGAGAGAGAGATGAAGAGCAGAGAGTAAAAGGTGTTTGACCTTACTCAGTGTCTCCATGGAAACAGGTGCTGTGCGGTTTATCATAACTTTCTGACAGTGGCTTTGCTTGGAACAGCACACACAAACACAAACAAAAAATTATAAATTCTTGAACGCTGCATTGTTTTCTTAACTTTTCTGCTCCCAATAACCAATAAACAAGTCAACAATAATGGAAAATATGCTCAAAGGTTGTCACAGGAAAACTGAGCAGGGTGGGCCCAAATGCGGATAGCAGAACGTACCAGAATACCTTTATTTAAAGTCCAACCCAGGCAGAGCAGGGCAATACATGCTTTTATATACAGTATACATTGGATGCCCTGCTGGCTGATTAGGTTAAAATGCAGATGCAGACAAAACAGCAACTTAAAGCCACCAGGGGGCAGATCATATCTAAACAAACTGTCTGTATATTATAGGTCTCAGATATGTACAAAACATGTCTGTGGAGTGTTTGGCTATAGGAATACCCAACATATCATGCATTGTAGCATGCCATTAAGCCCGATGTTTCAGCCCTGTTCCAAAAGTGCTGATTCTGTATATCTAGCTCTAAATGCTAATGAGCTACTGCTCGCCACGCCCCCCTTTGATTTAAAAAAACACAATGGTGCTCTAGGAGGAGATTTGGGTGATAAGGTGGACGGGTGTTACCTTGATTGGTTAGTGGCTAATGGTTGCACAATCCAAAAAAAAGTTGTGAGATCACAAAGTGGCCAAATTTGATCAGCTCATTTTCAGACAGGTTTTTTTATAAATGGTTCAGGACAAATGGAGATAATTTTTACCCTGAAACTTTCCAAATCTCTTAATATGAAGATATTTATAGGCAATGCCGCATGATGTATGCACAAGCAAACATTCTCCTATACGTAAGTTTAGTGCATGTACAGATGGAGTGAAGATGTCTCTGTTCAGAGCATATTGTACACCACTACTGCACATTTGTGGTTAAACTACAGAAAAGCAAGTTTACGGAAACTTCAAGTAGCTTATAATGATGCCATGAGAATATTGCTGAAGAGACCTCGATGGTCTAATGCAAGTGAAATGTTTGTGGCTGCAGGAGTCAATACTCTACAAGCTGTTTTAAGAAATCTCATGTATAAATGTATTTGCCGGCTTAATGACTCTGATAATGAAATCCTCTTGGCCTTATCAAACATAAGGTTTAGTACTACACGCTACCAATCACAGCTGTGGAGACATTGGTATAGTTGTCTCTTTGTAGGACACTGATTTAAATTATTCTTAAACTATGAATTTTTTTAATGCTGTGTATGTAATTTATTATATGTAATGCCTTGTCTTGTAATGTCTTGTCTTTTATCTGGACCCTGAGTCTGTAATAAAGTTTTCATTCATTCATTCTTAACACAGAGGGGACACATATTTATTTATAAAAGACGTGAAAAAGTGGATTTTGCACAATAGGTGAACTTTAAGGTGTTGGCCGGTACATTAGCAAACAGTTCATACATTTCACATCCAGTAGACCCAGAGGAATTATCTTTAAATGTAGCATCAGAGATACCTTTCTCATATCACAGTCATTTATTTAGCTACATGCTTATTTTTTCCCAACTACATAGTTGGTTGTAAAAGTCAATTCATTTAGAAGTAGCCCTTAAATCACCCCACTGTCTGTACGACGCTGCACCCCAAAGAACACCTCGGGAGAGAGGGATGTGTCGATTTATTTTGAATGCATGGCACTAACTATTCTTCCTACTGTCCTCATTCAGTTTGACTTCTCTCTTTTTATGCAAATAATATAATCTTCCATTTTGTTTCAGTTTCTGTTCATTAATATTTGATGTAAAGTGGGACATGATGCACTTTTGTTTGTTTGTGTTTGTGTTGGGGGAGTACATTCATGTTTGATGTTTGAAGGGAGGGAGGGGAAGATAATCACCAGCAGCAATTCAAGTTACAAACCGTGCTGTTGAATGTTGGATGCACCACCAGAGGCCAGCAGGCTACAGTTATGACTGTGACCGTGATTTGTGCCAACAGATATATGAGCACATGTATAACACAGTACATAATTCATGCACATAAAAGGTACTCATTCAACATATCCCAGTCATCATTGATAAGCTGCTTCCATTTCATGTTGCAGAAGAACTGAGGCGGTGGGGAAATGAGGTTTTACATAGCCTTCTCATGGTTTCAATATAATTTCCAAGCTAATATTACGGATGAATGATTTATTAGATGTGGGGAGAGCATCAAATACAGCAGACAGAAACATCTGGATGTGGGTCAATCTTAAGATTTATAATTGTATTTTGTTATCTTATTATTATTTGTTTCTGCTGTTGATGACTGAGGACTATTATCATGATTTTTGAATGAACCATACAGCCAAGACTATCCATGACAGCTATGGAAAATGGGCTATAACAAATTAAATGCATACTTTGGGTAATCATTTTATCTATGAATTTGTATAACAGTTCTGCTTCACCGATTATAACATTTTGAAATCTGTGTGCATCTTATAGTTAAATGAGCCCATCAATCTTCCATAATGCAAGTAGGATGTATTGTTTTGTTTTGACAGTGCACATTTATAATTCCACTTAACACATAAGTCAGGACTGTAAGAAAAACAACACATTTTCATATTCTCGGTTGATATTCTTTTCTGCTATTGGTTTGTTCCTTTCTACCTCTTCATCTAGTTATATTTTCAGCATTTCCTGCATGAATAGATGTTAGGATGTGTTTTGACAATACATTAGCTTCTATATTTTCCAGCATCATTTGTTTCACCCTGTGAGGCACGCACAGTATTGCATACAGTATAAACAAACACACACAATAAGGAGGTCACCTTGAGGTGTGACGCTGAGCCAAGCTGGGGTATATACAGTATATATATGTATGTGTGTGTGTGTGTGTGTGTGTGTGTGTGTGTGTGTGTGTGTGTGTGTGTGTGTGTGTGTGTGTGTGTGTGTGTGTGTGTGTGACTGTGTGTTTGTGTTTATGCACCCTTGTGGATTGTGTTTTGTTCACTTGTTTTCCTTTCTCATAATCATTAGACGGGCTGTAAATCACTGCAATCATGGATATCCATGTTCACATTTCCATAAAGGGCACAAGTCAAAAAATCTATCACTAGTGATAAACAGAGCACAACACAAGGAGTATTATCTCAGTCAATGTACCCCCTTGAGGATAAACAAACTCCCATGAACCATGTAAACAAACTGAGGAGTCCTTCAACGTGAAAATCCTTGAACACTACAGGAAGGATGAGACAAGGCCATAAAACCAGGGTATAGCTTGTGCACATGCATAAGGACATGGACACACATACCCAAAAGCTTCCCCTGCAAGTATTCTGCCAACGTCTATCCAAGGAATCACCAACTGTTTAATTTGATTTTGAAATAATGGTTCGTAGCAATGTGAATGTTCCAAGGTTGTCCCTTCAATCCGTGTGTTATACAACTTAATTGTTTAATTAATTAACACGCCTATGACGACAACGAGTTGCATATTTATTCCTATGTCCATTTGTATGAGTCAGGCAAGAATATGTTGCTTATAAATTGATCTTTGGCCTTTTGCTGTCAGACAGTTGAATAACAAACAGGAATAAATACAAACAGTCACACATGTGTTTATACTGGCCGTACTCTGTTTTCCGTCTGGCTCAGAAAGCATCCAACCTACATGGTCAACTCAATCGGAATCACATTTTTCTTATTATTTTAGCCCTGGCATTCAATTCCCTGACTCAGTTAAGCCGAAGATAAGATTTGGAAAATGGAACAATGAAAGCCAACCGCTGTGGCTAACAGACCAGCCTGTCACACAAAGATACATGCAATATCATATTCCCTAAATCCAAAGGCAGCTTATGTGTAGATGCCATGGTCAGGTCCAAATGTAATTAGCCACAAAGTCATGGTCCCCTAAACACAAATCTGCTGTGGAAGGGGAAATCATGTAAAGGTTTTTTTTTTTTATCTCATTTGTATTAGATTGTCCCTCACTCAAAGGGAGAGATAGAGAGGGGGAGGGGGCAGTGGGAAAAGGAGGGTTGGAGGGTGTAGTATTTGGCATGACCTAAGGAGAGGGTCGTGGTAAATGAAAACAGACTGATGCATGCGTCGGACCAATCCCACAGAGGTAGTAGGCAGCGTTTGGCCCAACCCCAAATGAGAACCGTGAGAGGAAGCGATGATGACTACAGCGCGTAGATCGGCAGCTGGAAGCGAGACGTGCCCTGGTTTCTCGGTTTGAACGGTGATCACAAGTGCCTGCCAGCACCCGTAGGCTACACATCCAAGGCACCGGAGAGCTTTGACTCGTACAGTTGGATCGGAGAGGGATATGGTCCAATATTTCTCTCTCATCTTCTCCACTCTGATTTTTGGTTTTGAGATGCAGCTCATGTTGTGCCATCCTGTCAGCGCGGTAAACTTTACGGCATATGAGTCAAATGTAACTTGTTAAAAGTGCCAAAAGAAAGAGACAAGTTAATTCACTAAAAATGTCAACGACGTACCTTAGCTCTCAAGCGCCCAACCAGAGCTACCTATCGACGGCTACCTACGAGAAGACAGACCCCTCGGAGATGGAGAGGCAAATTCGCGTTCTGCTTTTCGGCTTGTGCGTAATCATCGCTGCTGCTACCCTTGTCGGAGGTGTGTATTCTCTGCTCTCACTCCTCCGGTTGAGGAGAAAAAGCTCCTTGTGTCTTATCGTGGCTTCTATGTCAGTGGACGACCTCCTCAGTGTGGTCCCTCTGTCCTTGTTCATGCTCCTGCAGTGGGAGAGAGATGGAGGTGGATGGTCGGGCAGCCTGTGCACTTTATCTGGACTTCTGTACGTGTTCCAGGGTGTTTCAAGCAATATGAAGGCATGCCTCATAGTAGCTTACACTTTTTATGTCACCAAGAGATTTGGAGTACTCCAATCTGTCCGCCGGCCACTAAGAATGATGTGGGCCATTGCCGGTGTGTGGGCAGTGAGCCTCGCCGTCAGTGTGTTACCTTTGTGCGGATGGGGAAGCTTTACGCCTGCCCCTCTCGGGTGTTTCCCAGAGAGCGACAGTTTTTACACCCTGATGTTGTTCTCTTTATATTCCATGTGTTTCTGCGGAATGTTATTTTTCTTTACCCCCCTCACCTATCAGCTGCTGTGCTCTAGGGAGCCCCAGAGGACTTTACTGTACCCCAGCTATTCGGAGATGGCGAGGGGACTGAGTGGCTCTGCCCCCCTCTGTGACCTTCCTTCTTTTTCCCGGGACAGCCTAAACAAAAGTTTCGGGGCCTACAACGAGCTGAGCCCGAGTTCATGCGGGACGAAGATCGTGGAGAAAGAAGACAGTGGTTTGTCCCCAGTGTCTGTCAGCGGGCAGAGGACAGCTGCTATCGGGGATACACCAGTGGTGTTTGCACAAAAACGCTTCTCCATGATCCTTGCGGTTGTCCGAGTTATTTTATGGATGCCAATGATGGTAAGTAGCGTGATAAATTCAAATTATTCTAAATTAGTGTGTAAAAAAACGTCCCTGTGATGGAAAAGAAAGACAATTTAAGCTATCCCTTTTTGATGGAGACCCATTGCAAAACCCTGGATGTCTCTTGAAGCAACACTAAACCACAGTATTGTATTACATTCATTTACAGTTTTGAAAGCATTTGGACATCCTATCATAGTTTGTGTTCTCATAAGAAATGTTAAACCGTGACATTTAAAGAACACAAGACGACGTCCTATTAAATTAACTTCCATTACAGGCCTTGAGTAAAATCATTTGCCATGTTTTAGTCAACACCGAAAGGGCAGCATTCATTGGGTTGCATTTTGAAATACCTTATAAGAGCATTTGTTCTTGCTTAATCAAAACGTTAATTTGATGAAAATCTGCAGTGCAGCCAGCAGACAATGATGGGCAAACCGAATTGGCAACACTGAAAAATGAACAAAGCCAAAGATTTGATTAACACAGAAGCTGTCAAAATGTCTCTGATCAGAATAAAAACCTGTAAATGCAACAGGTTTTATTTGTATGGTGGACATTTTAATTGTACATTAGTTTGTTTGGTTTTCCAAGAAACAAACATGCCTTTCCAAAGATGATTTGTCTAGTGGTATCTTTTTTATTGCTTGTGTTTGTAATACAGATATATAATATATTTTTCGGTTTATTTTCAATTTAGAACAGTCATAGACAGTTCAATAGTGTGCCTCTCAAGAAAATGAAAAACTAAAAAAGCACAGTTTGGGCCTCATTTCCATCCATGTGCCTCCCTCCCAATATTTCCTCATGCATATTGAATCACGGACTGCTCAGTGAATTTATCTTCTATTTCCCTTCATTCACAGACGTTGGTGCTTGTGCGCCACGCAGTAAATGCACGCAGCTCATCCCTGGAGACGCTGAGCTTCTTTCTTACTCTGCTTGCCCCTGCGGTCACTCCATTATTCGTGCTGTCTGAGCGCTGGATCCACATGCCATGCGGCTGCTTCATTAACTGCAAACAGGATCCAACGCAGGAACCCTCAGGTAAACAAAATCAAGTGTATTTCTACATAATAAACCCTTAGTTCCCCATTTTGCTACCCTTTAAAGGAGAGGGAAGTAAAGTTATAACACAATTATCCTTAATTACTTTTTCACAGTGATGAAAAGAAGATTTGAGTTCAACCTTTCCTTCCAACAAGGCTATGGAGTCTACAAGTTGTCACATGCCACTATGCATCATAACAGTCCACCTCTTGGGAAGCCTGACTTTCACAGCTTCTTTAACTGTGACTTCCCCAATACCCGCCTTGAGACACTAGAAAGCGGCGGGCTCCTCAGCCTAGGGCCTGATTTTGATTTCAGCACCACATTCCCTGTGGACAGCTCCTCTCAAGCAGACCTTCCATTGGAAGCAGTGGCCAGTGGAGGAGCGGCACTGACTGATTGTCTTTCACTTCCTCATGAACACCACGGAGTTGAAGGCGACCGCTGTGTCCCTTCGCATCACAAGGAGCAGGATCACAATCTCACCGATACGTCATTTGTGTTCGAGGGCCCAGAGAGGAGGCTGTCGCATGAGGAGTGTCGGAAAATCGAGCTGACAGACTGGGAGTGGTGCAGGAGTAAATCAGAGAGAACACCAAGACAGGTACTCCTCTGTCGAGAGTCTTCAGTTTATTAACCTGATGTTGAACCATTAAATTAAGTAATTTGTATCTGTCATTCTGTGGTTTATGGATGCCAATAATTGCTTTTCCAACCTCACTCTCGAGTGTTTCCCGAAACTAGTTAAATAACAGCTGCATTAGCAGTCAACATAAGCATGCTCTCTAGAGAATATCGTTTAGGAGTGATTAGCATCTAAGTACCATAAAATGGTTGGATTCAATCTCACTTTCTGTGTTTACATTTAGTTTATAATGCAGTCTTGCTGCATTGCTAAGTACAGAGAAACAGACACAAGGCTATAGGATGCATCTTTTACATGACAAGGCTTTAGAGAAAAGAGTGCATTTTTATCTGTCTGACTTATTGTTTATTGGTCTGTTGGTCAGTGAGGTTGTTTTTTTCCCGCATCTGTGAATATACCTCTTTATAATCAAGCTGACAGACTGGGAGGTGGCCATGTGATTTAGATACAATTGTAAAAATCCTCTCTCCCTTAGCCTCTCTTCTCTCTTCTCTCTCAGCAGATATTGTTTGTGCTAAGCATCAATGGATTCCGACTAATAGACCAATTGATCAAAATACTATCAACAGCATACCACTTCAGTAACAAATGCCAGCCTGTCATTCAAAACAATATACATTCATTGCTATCCCACTGTAAAATCAGAACAACTCTCAAGGCTTAGTTCAGTTCATTAACTTACTCTTGTGGGTTTTCTCTCTTTTTGTAGGCAGTGTTTACTGTTTCAAAATCAGTTTTAATGAGATTCATCCACTCAAGATTAGCTCCCCTTACTGTATGTGTGTTTGTGAATGGTTTTGTGCAAAGCTGTAATGTGGCATGAAATCAAATGAAAAAGAAAAACTAAAACAGGAATCCAACACATGCTGTATATCCATATATCTATAGAGCAGAGTTGCATGTTTAGTAACATTGCGCTCATACAGGTATTATTTACTTAGTCACTCAAAAGATGCACAATGAAGTAGAAGTCAAATACCGCTAAATGTAAACCATCCACGGCTCAAGACAGTTTACTACTGGCACAAAACATCTCTCTCCACTAATCCATTTTTTATCAATTTCTGTGTTCTAGTTGACACCCTGTGTTCCTGTGTTCCCAGATGTTTATTTCTCTCCTTGAGTTGCTGGACTTAATACAATTGTTCAATAAGGACAAAATAGCCTTTATTTACCCTTTATGACCTGCAGTTTTGCCAGTTCCCCCGGCTGACTTTATTTTCTTTAAGAGGCTTTAGCAGGTTTAGGAGGCTATTAATGCTACAAAGTTAGGATACATTTTGCTGAGGGAAACATTGGCCTGGATTTATTCACAGGGGTCCCTTGACTTTTCACCTCAAGCCAACTGAATTAAATGGGTTATATGTGTACCCACGAGTCTCCCCTTTACACACATTACCACCTAATGCAATTCCCATGCAGTTTAGAGCAAAACTCCTGCCATTTTTAGCATATAGTATAAACGTGTTATTATCTCCTATTCACGATTTTCAAGTACACCTTTATTTTTAACATTTCAGCATACTGGGGTCCGGGAAAAGTCTTGGATTTACATAAATTGGGAATGTCCTGAAAGCTGAGAATATATGCAAGCCACGAGCACATGCTCCGACTTTATATATGTCTCTCTTCCTCTCTGTCTCTTTTTTACTTACAAGTCTGAAAATGTTTCGGGTTTGAAATCACTAGAGGTCGGAAAGTGTGTGTGTGTGTGTGTGTGTGTGTGTGTGTGTGTGTGTGTGTGTGTGTGTGTGTGTGTGGCCTACTTCTCATCTACATTTTTCTTCTCAAGCAAAACTATGTATATTGTGCTCCCTTAGGCTGTGTTCATTGATTGGGGTCCTTATATACAAGTATAGTATACAGACAAACAGCAAATACAATAAATAACTAAAAGCTGCCCAAATCTAGCAAGCACCCCCTTCCCAAACACAGTCACGAAAGACAAAGTTTGTGATTTGAAAGCGCTTCCTGCCAAGGTTTTGTTCCTCGTCCATCTGTTCTCCTTACTGCCAGCCCCTTTGGCCTTCAGTGTCCTCAGGGAGAGGTGGAATTAAAGCTCAAAGACATCTTTACCCTCTCAGTGACTTTATGCTCTCTACTTGAAAACAAAGGGCTTAGGGCGCACTCAAAAGCCCACTCCCAGACAAAAACAAGATATAATGTGCAATCATGCAGGGAACTGAAACCTGTTTACTTTGAGAACACATCCTGATCTGTAAATAAGTGTTGTTCTCTCCAATAGGTTACAAGGTAGATAATGAGAACAACTATTGAATCGGAATGGATTGGAAAGATAGCACAACACTAATCAATAATATGTCAGGATCTGCAGCCATCATTAACAAATATTGAACATCACTTATGTTGCTTATATGAAGTGGGTATGCAGTTCTGTGAGAATTTACTTAGAAAAAGCAGTGATTTGAACTGAATGCTAAACTTTAGATGTTCACAATCACAATGCTATCACGCATATGTTTTGCAGGTATGTTTATCATCTCTGTTGTGTTGGGTTTGCCTATTAGTTGGTGGAATTATTTCTGAGAGGAACATGAATGTCTGGGCCAAATTTGTAGTCATATCATTATACTGGAATTAGCTAATAGGTCATAAAAAGGTCATTCATTTTCTGCAGACCTTTATGAATGTAAATTGCATGACAATAAATTCAAAAGTTATAATCCTGCCAGGAAGAAGTGCCAGCTGCAAAATATGCATAATGTAAATATTTGCCTAGATTTCATGCAGGTTATACATATATTAAAATTACACTTAGAAATAACATTTGAAGATGAGAGAATAGCAACATTGCATGTAATAAAAACATGTAGGCCTACATTGTGACACACACACACACACACATTTTTACTTGACAATGTGTTTTCATCTTAGCATGGTAGTCTCTCTCTCTCCCTCCATGTCTCTCTCCTTGCACAATGACAGGAAAACAGACAGAGTCAGGGAGGACAAGCGATTGACATCCTCTTTGTTCCTGCTGTGTGTCATAATCACAATCAGATCATTACATTGAACCAATCTAAATAATTTAGAGGGCTTAATGAGACCTGCCAGTCTCCCCACTGTGGCAGCATACTTCTTCTTCCCCCTGCCAGAAAAATGAATTTGCTCAAATGATCATGTGACAGAGGCTCACATAGATTTACTGTGGAGTGAAATAATCTCCATGAAATAAATATGACTGGAAAATCTGAAATGTGATTTGAAATGAGAGTGAGAAACCCAGAGGAAATTTGATTAATGTTTAATACACTGAAATGATGTTATTCAAATTAAATTAGTAAGAATAACATTTCTGACAATGGCTAAATGGCTCATGAATTGTATACAGCTTTCTGCTGTGAGCCTAACAAATCTTTATTCTACCAAGCAGCAATGACAAGGCTAACCATATTTAAATTTTTGATTGAAATGGTTGGTCGACACATAGATCTCCCTGCCATTGACATCAAGGACACGATCTAAGCTCAATTAGTTTGAACAAAGGAAAACATTTTCTTTGTTCTTCTTCTCAATTACATGATAAGCAGCCATATGGAATTTTGTAAAATGCATAATATTATTCTCGACTAATGGGACCAAGTTAATACATAAATAAAGATGTTGTGCTGGATATTCACTGAACTTTTTCTTGCGTTTTCGTTTTGTTTTTATGCAGCGGTCATCAGGTGGTCTGTCAATACCCCTGTGCGCCTTTCAGGGCACCGTATCTCTGCAAGCCCCCACTGGGAAGACCCTCTCTCTTTCCACCTATGAAGTCTGCAGTGACGGACTCAAAATCTCCCCCAACAATGCCAAGAAGGTAATAACCATCAAAATGGACCATACTTATTAATATGAATGAAAATGAAATATGCGTATTGCTTTCTTGCTGTATGTCAGATAAAAGGATTGATATCACTCTTATGTCAGTGCAAGTACAGAAGTTGTGTATATCTGACTCAGCAAAACAAATCATTTGATTTATTTTTGCTGAGTCAGATATACAGCCGTCTCAAGTGTAATTCCCAAAGTGTCTAACTATTCCTTTAACAATTGTCTTCTATTTTACCTACTAGTTTTGTTAATGTCCCATTGACAACTTGGGCAGATATGTAAGATAAAGAATGAATTGCATTGTGACCCCATACTTTTTATAAATAACTTGGATTATAAATCTGCTTCAAAGGTGGAGGTGTATCGCTCCAAATCAGTAGGCCACGAGCCCAGTGCAGACGAGTCATCATCAGGAGGCAAGGCTGGAGACGTGAATGTCAGCAGTGTAGGGATGGGCGTGGGGATTGGACTGGGGATGGGCATCGGATCTGGTGTGGGGGACACCAACGTGAAGATCCACCTTGAGGTGCTAGAGATCTGTGACAACGAGGAGGCCATGGACAGTGTCTCCATCATCTCCAACATCAGCCAGTCCTCCACCCACACCCGCTCGCCGTCACTGCGCTACTCACGAAGGGAAAACCGCTTTGTCTCCTGCGACCTTGGGGAGACTGCTTCCTACTCTCTGCTCATCCCCAGCAGTGGCAACCTGGAGGCAGAAACCATCAATATCAACATACCTGACACTGTAGAGGCTCATCGGCAGAACAGCCGGCGGCAAACACAGGAGAGCTCGGGGTATCATGAGGAGATACAGCTGCTCAACGAGGCCTACAGGAAGCAAGATGGGGAGAGGGAAGAGTGACGGAGATATCCAGGATAACAAGAAGTGTCTCTTAGGAACAGCTTGAAAGAGCCCCTCTGATAGCAAATGAAAGACACATTTTCTAATCATTCCACATTTATGTATTTTATGTATAGACCTGAGAGGTGACAAAATTAGAGACTTTATCCTTTTTCTCATAAAAAGGCTGCACAGTGTCAGGAGTTTCCCTTTCACACACTCAACAGGATATTGTCCATATCAGAAACATTGTCACTAAATGGAGTCCATTAGCCTGGGTAGAGCCTGCAGGAGGCCAGACAAATAACAGACAGATTACACCTCGTTCACATGGATGGTTCGTAATTTGTCGTAATTTGACAGAAACTTCCTGCATCAGTCCTTGCACACATAACTCCCTGAATCTCATTGTATTTCCAGTTTCTCCAATTTCAAGCCAGCCACGATAGAAACGCCATCAACGCGCCGACTCGCTGTCTATGAATGGTACAACGAGCAGCTCTATTAACACATGGACTCAAAGCAGACAACACACAGGGTTTGCTCCTGGGAGCTGGCAGGTTAAAGTCTGTAATGTGTGATTTAAGCAATCTGGCTTTTGTGTTCTCACACAGAGCTCCTCTGGGTATGGTATAGATAATGTCAGGGTTGCAGCGCATGTGTGAAAGGGACTTTAGCTTAAGAGTTTTATTAGTCCGTTTGCTTACTCTTGTACTTCCGCTTTAGATGAAATCACAAGAGCTAATGCATCACCTGTCTGTAGAGTAAATTAAAACAGATAATTCTTCAAAGGAAGATACAAAAAAAAGAAGAAGGTAGGAGATATCAACAGTATTTCAGCAGAGCATTTCTTGTGTCACCATTTAGCAGCCTGCATCTTACCTAAAATGGATACAGGTTGAGAGACATTCACTAAGACGATGCGGTGCCAGGTCTAGTCACAAGTCTGATATGAAGCCACTCTTGCAGACTACGTCATTGGTGATTCAGCCATGAGGGGAAGGGTCATCCGACCCATGTGTCTGACTCATCTCAGTGTGTGTTGTTGTGCATTGTTGTGTGTAAGAAGTAGCCTGGCCCATAACAATGAGGCTATTAGAATTATGGTTTCAGATGTCATCTAAAAGTATTCACATGTTTCTTTCTTGCAAATGTTTTTATTCTGCATACTTTTTATTGTATCTGTGGTGTGTTTTCTTTTGAGTCCAGGTGATATGTCTGTGCATTTAGAAATATGTTGCTAATGAGAGGGACTACTATACATCTTAAACATATCAAAAAGGATAGTACAGGCCAACGATTAGAGTGAAAGTGCAAGCGATTATTGTAGAAGCAGTCAAGAGTGCTGTTTTCTGCCTCATGCACATTTAGTGAAATCGAAATGTGTCACAGTGTGTATTTGTTTACTACAGTAGGCACTAGGCAGCAAATGCATGTACATTTTAGAGCCACTTTGGGGGATCATTTCCCTAACTGCTCGGTTCACTGCCCATCCAATCAGTGAGAAAACATGGTCTATCACTTTCTACATGCATACATTCTGGACTAAAATGTTATAGATATTATATATTTCAGTACTGTTTTTGGTAACCTGGAATTTTACGGAGCCCCCTAGAGGACATGGAGAAGAAAAAGAAAAAAAATTTGAAAAATAAATAAAATGTTTTGCGAGATATATATGTATATGATATGTATGTATAAGAATACAAACAACATGACGTTACAATCATAGCAAGTAGACAACGAGCTAGAGTCGTTTTTATCAGAACAGTTCGATACGCGCCGTCATCCGAGTTTAACTTCAAGAATTGGTCACAATCTGCAGCTGGAGGAGGAGAGTGCTTAGGGACCGTCTACAAACTGCAACGGGATTTTGCGAGATCTCGCAAAAGTATTGCGAGATCCCGCAAAAGTATTGCGAGATCTTGCAAACAATTTTTTTAATTTCTTTTTTCTATTTTTTTTTATTTGTTCTTCTCCATGTCCCCTAGGGGACTCCGTAGAATTTAAACATCAGAAACAGTGAAAAAAAATATCTCTTTCATAGATAATATCCAGTACTTAAAGGCATATTTACAGGTGTGTAAACTGTTGCAGTAACATGGTAAAATAAGTATTTCACCTGAAAGTACATATTTATTTAATTTGTTTTTATGATGTTGTCATATATAAACAAGCCGTTTGGTTGCTTGTTCTTCAAAACAACATTGGCACTTGCTTCATTTGCAGGCTTTTGAATTGTCCTTTAGCAAGTCCACTTCTCCAGCTGCAGCATATGCCAGCCTCCTGAAGAATATTGTACCAAAAAATTGCGATGCATTTCTATTCCGATTGCTACCCGGCAAAATGTAAAAAGAAAATAATGTACAGGCGTATGAATCATAATGAATGTAACATTTTATTCAATGTCAACCATTTGAGATGTTGATGGTGCCAAAGGTTTTCAATTGAGCAGCTTCATCTCCACAGCCTAACCAAGAGGAAATAATTTGATCATCTGCTTATTCTCACTTTTAAACAGGACAACAGTTCAGTTTCTGGTCAAGCATTCTCATAAATCCTTGTGATCAATAAACTGCTATTTGCTTTGTTTGTGAGAAATTGGTAGTTGCACATTAGCTGTACAATTGCATGTCAACTGAGTCTTGTCGACCGTCTCACTGATATAACACATAAACCACTCAATGGTATTCTTTAGTAGGCCTACTTACTAAAAGAAAATATAGTGCAATAATGAACTACTTGAAGAGACTGACCTAGATACGTACTGTGGCTGCCATCATTGGTTGTTGTGCCCCTGGATGACAGTAATATGAGTAATCCACATAGATATTTTTGTAATTCTCTTTTGTGAGTGAGAATTTGCTGACATAAAATGAGCAGTAAAGACAAATACATGTATATCTTTTAGGAGGGTTTCACAAATTATACTTTGTACAGATATTTGGTGATGTGCCTTTGTGAAATGAGAATAAATGGAGAAAAACCGGAAAGCAAATAGCAAATCAGGTAAAAAAAGAAAAAAAAGGGCATATTGCAGCAAAAGCAAAAAAGCAAATAATATTAAAAAAACTTTAGTTATCAAAGGACCTGGACAGAAGCCATTCCGAATGTTTTACCATGTCTCTCTGATACAAGGACTTACACCTCCCACTCACAACTTCTGATTTTGCTGAAGTAAGAAGGTGGAGGTAAGCCTGGATTGAGAAGTAACACGAGACCTCTACTCCAACACATACAGGCCTATGCCAGGAGAAAAGAAAAAACAACCAATGTTAGAATATGATGCTTTTCATCTTGGTTGAATAATTTATTATGGTCAGAGATCCTGTGTTTGCAACAGCCTTGAGGGTATATGAAAACAAGGTGTGCAGGAGAATCATGCATCTGCAGCATCATGAGAGTAGGGGGAGGGGGCTAGCATGCGAAAGTCCTTTCTTCACTCACATCTTCGTGTTTCCACAAGCTCTCTACTACTCAAAAGGCTTCCTCATATCTCTCCCTCCTGACATATCTCTGCTATATTCTCAACTGGTTATTATACTCTCCTCTTCTAGTGTTTTCCACTATTTTCCTGAATTGCTTACTCTCTGAATCCATTGAGATTTAAGTTAGGCTAATTCCAGTTTGTATTTCCTGCTGAAATAGAGGATAAAGATTGAAACAAACATTAAAAAGGCTTATCTCTCACACAATGTGACAATAGTTAATTTAATCTGGAAATTGTATTTTCACTGTAACTGAGCTGCTGTGTAGCTGCATTTCTAAAACGGTTGATAACACTATGCATGCTGACATGAACACATGTTCACATCCTCGATGATGACAGAAAAGGGGAGTGTGTGAAGAAGAGAAATAGATTTAAAAGTGGTGATGATATTTCATGACAGATGTACAGTATGAGGGTGGGATAAATCCACCGCAAATGACACTCACACCTTTCATTCCTGTTTATTTTCTCTTGTCCCTGCAATCTTAGCACTAATTGGGTGAATATTACTTTTATTTTTAAAAGACAACATTTAGAAGGAGAGAGGAGAACAAACACATCTCTCTAACTCATTTAATATTCCAGCTAATTTAAACAAGAGGTTTCTCCCAATTAGATATATGCTCCAACTGTGGGCATTCATTAACAAACAGGGTGAGTGAAGGGTGAAGAATAAAGTAAATGTAAAATAGAAAATAAAATAAGAAACATAACCTGTTATTGATTGAATTGAATCTGTTGCCTTCCAATTGTAAATCACTGACTCTAGTGTTGCCATGTTTGTTTTCAGACTTAGACATAATGAGTTAAGATCAAGCTTCACATGACAGACGTGATGTAGTGTCAAGTTAACAATAAATTGCTAGAGAAAAATTGTGTTTTAATAATTGGTAGCATAATTAGTCCAGTGGAAAGCTGCCGTTTTAAACAGACTAAATGCTTTGAATCTGCAGATGATATTCAACACAAAAGAGCAGAGCCAGGACCCTTTAGGTGAGCAGTCATGGTAGATCTTTTTCAATTCACTGTAACCTTTAAGGCCCAGATAACAGTCTTCTTCCCTGATATGTCCATTAGGCTTGGAGCAGCATGAGCTGATTAAGGCAGTTAGCAGTTGGGTTTTTAGAGCATCATTATTCATTTATTTTCACATCCTTGCTTATTCAGAGTCTCCAAATTAGTGATTGAATAAACAATGGTTTATTTTCATAGATGATATTATAAACAGTATACTCAAACAGGCATTACAATGCAGTGGAATAATAATAAATGCACCAGAAAACATGCCTGATAGAAGGTCTAGGGTTAAATAAGATCAGAAAATCAAAAGAAACAACGGAAACAAGGTTAAACAAAAAGGATCCCAGTTGGTTAAACGTTAAATAAACAGGGGCACAATGTAAAGCAAGACAGGAAGCTAAGCAACTAAAAGGAACAACAACCATATTATAAGACATAAGCAGGAGCTAAAACTGTTATAAAGACAAATGCAAAACAAGCTCAACTAACCAAAAGTAAGTAAGCAAATGGCACGAAGCAAAAAAAATGTAACATCATAAACAACACAAAACATAGTTAGCAAAACAAAACATAGTTAGCAAAACAAAACAAAACAGCAGCAGGTGAACTATGAAGGTTACAAATGGCTCACCATGTGGAATACAAACATTTAAGGTTCTGCCCTATTGACCACAGGAAGAGGTTTTGGACAATCGGCAAGGAAGCAGTAAGTGATCATAAAATACTAGCAGAAATGAGACCAATGTATCCATATAATCGGTTATGAAGCCTACCTTTACCAGCGACCATGACAGCAGAGCCAATGGTAAAAACCAAAGGCCACCAGATGCCATACTCTGCTCTAATGAGGGTAGAGGTTTGGGAGGAGTCAGGCCTTGAGCTGCTTTCAGGAGCACTACTCGCTACATCATTATTTATTTTAAATTAACAACTGAAGATCAAACCAAAAAGGTTTCCCAAAGAGATTAAATAAACCTAATGATCCATATATTTTGCTGATGGTAATCGATAAGAAGCATCTGCTTTCAGTATTAAGGAATAGTATCAACTCTTATAAAATGGAGATTCTTTCAATTTCTTTCCATTTCAGCAGATTGTAGCGTATTATTATCTATTATTCCAAATATAAATTGATAAGCCTCATGTATTATCCATCAGTAAGTAAATACATTTAGAACAGCGAGTGTGGAAGGGGATGGCCAACAACCAATCACAGAGCAGAACGACAATAGCAGGCAGCTGAATATTCTGACGCCGATTCTGTGCGACATGCCGGATAGAAACGAGAATGAAAAACATGCGAAGTGATGCTTGTTGACAGCATCATTTGAGTTTTGCTTTATTTACCTTATAAACGTACTGTAGCTATCCTGAAATTAACTGTCAATAGCAACGAAACGTTAAGTGTTGCCTCGTATGTTTACCTTTAGTCTCTGGCCCATAAGTCCATCTGTCTTAGCAGCACTAGCATTAGCAGCTAACCCTACAAGACATAGTAACGTTACTTAAACGACATTTTGACAGCGTTTTAGTATTTAAATCTACCACCGCTGGTTTCTGCAGTATGAGTTATGAATATGGTGGCGGGGGTGGGAGAAGAGGTGGAAGAGGAGGTGGAAGAGGAGGTCGAGGAGGAGGTCGAGGAGGAGGTCGAGGGTACAGAGATGGAAGCAGAGATGGAAGCAGAGAGAGATGGGACAGGGGAGGCGGACGGGGCTCAGGGGGACAAAGCTCGGACTTCGACCAGGACCCAGGAGGAGGGGGACAACGGGACCGGCCTCCCCCACACCTGAAGGGACGGGATATCGGTATGTGGTACGCAAGATACGGAGCCGTGAGGAGGAAGCAGGCTGACCGGAGATCGGTATGTGTTTGGATGACTGATCGTGTACATTGTGTTGTCAGTTTAATAGAAATAGGTCTGGGCAGTCCGCACATAAAGAGGTGGGAGGACAGGAGTATAACTTAAGTAAAAGTATAAGTACCAGAGTGTAGGAGTACCCTGTTACAAGTCCTGCATTCAAAAGGTTACTTAAGTAAAAGTACAAAAGTATTAGCTTCAAAATAGACTTAAAGTACCAACAGTAAAAGTCCTCATTATGCAAATTGGCCCATTTCAGACTAATATATATAATGTGTTTATCAAAGCTGGTAAGACTTTGTAGACTACAGGGTTGCTTGTGAAATGTCTCCAGCGTTCAATAAAGTCTCATTTTAGTGTTGATTATATTTCACATCATTAATCCAAATCTGCAAAGTAACTAAAGGTACAACATAATTGTAGTGGAGTAAAAGTACATAACATAAGTAGCATAACATGGAAATACTCAAGTCAAAGTTGTACTTAAGCATAGTACTTGAGTAAATGTAATTAGTTACTTACAGAACTACACATAATAAACACTAAAGTTACAAAGAGGTGACAGCTTATTTCTATCTCTGCTAGATAAAAGCTCTGCCCTCGGAGCCCAGTTGTCAACTGCAAAGTGTGGGGCATACGCTGATTTAATGGAAAATGGTTCAGATCAGAAAGTCTTCTATTCTATAGATATTGTGCAGAATAGTGACACTGATCGGTGGCCAAAATCATGCAGATGGGTGAAATACCATCCATATCCTTACACATCTTGTATCTTGATTAATATTGTGATATACAATAGCCTGAACAAACTTTGCCTGAATGTTTCCAGCCTTCATTCATAAAACTGTATTATTAGGATCTTAACAAAGCCAAAATTACCCATTGATCCAATACCGTATGAATACTGCTATTTGTATATTTATTTACAGGGTTTTGATTAAGCATCCAAAGGGTTGAGGGTGAACAAATGTAGTAGGAGTAGTTAGTGCTAAAGTAGCAAATAATTCTTAAGCCGTCACTGAAATGCAAAAATAAGTGAACAATACGCACCGCTATTACATTGATTTCACATTTTCACAGGGATACTGTAAGATTTTTCAATGAGATTAAATGAAAGGATACATTGACATTTTTAACCCTTATTATTGTGTTCAAACAAAGACCCTGGTGTCACATTTGCTTAGGCCAATTACAAGATAACGACTCAAAATTCCCCTTTATGTCTGTGTGTAGCGGCCGGTGGTCCAGATGGATGCAGCCAGAGAGCAGCACATTACGAAGCTGCTTAACTCTGTCCAAAATGATCAGCCTGGTCCAGCGAGAGACTGCAGGGATGCAGGAGCCTCTACATCTGACAGCTGGCGGTCAGCTGCCAATAGTAGTGGTCATTGGTGAGAACAGCCTACAAAGCATTTATTTTCAAACTTGCACATTATAATGTTGAGCTTACCCTAAAGAAAATGGGAGTATTAGAAAATAACAAAGTTTCCTAAGTTATTTGACTGCTGAAACAAGTTTGTCTCTAATTTGTACATGCAGTTACTTTGATGGCGAAGCGTCTGAAGAGGATAAAAAGAAGATTGAGTTCAAGTCTGAAGAGGAGGAGGAGGAAGTTACTCATAAAACACAACGGTAACTTTTGCAAGCAAATCAGATGTACTGTTCCAAAAATGTAGTTTCCTATTTGATTATGCTTTCTTCAACAATCAGAGAGCAACCAATATAGTCTTGTGATCCACGATATTGTTGATATTTACACTTTTAATGTTTTTGTTTAGTTACTTCTCTCCAGCAGTTGTTAAAGATGAGGCTCCAGATGCGTGGGATAAAGACGACCAGCAGGAGAAAGAGGAGAAAGAAAGTCTGAAAAAGAAAGACAAGGAACTGGAGTTCTTGTGTCAAGAAGTAGTGAGGGACAGTTCACTGGATGAACGCTTACAGAGAGATCTGCAGAGCAAGAAATCTGATCCAAAGTACAAAGAAATGCTGGTAAGCATTAGGATTACTTTCAAGTTTTAAATATACAACAGTAAAAGGCAAGGCTTTTAATCTACTAAAATAGGCAGTGCATTGTTTGCATATCTCCGTCAACTTGTTACGTTGACTGTTATTATCTTTTTATGTTCCTGCATATGATGATTTCTCTGCAAAAATTGGATTACTAAAGCAATAAAAAGTGGGGTTTAAGAGTGAAACAAAGGTAATTGGAGATGGAACAAGGATCTGAAATGTTTAGTTTGTATGTCATCACAGGAATATTATCATAACATTCACTATATAAAATGAACAAATCATGAATTATATTTGGAAATATTGAGGCTTTACTAATGTTACGTGCCGCAGTTGGTGCTTGTGTGTGTGTGCTTTTGTGTGTGTGTCTCTCCTTCTCCTCTGGCTGCATGTGTGCAGCATGTGTGGTGTAGTGTAGTGTAGTGTCTCTGTGTGAGGCCTAGTTTAACCTGTGTTTTGTTTATTGTTAGGAAATGTGCTACAGTTTACCTTTTTGTGTATTGTTTAATTTAGTCACTTTCTTTTAGAAGAAAGTTGTTCTTAGTTACTTTAAGTTTATTTTGCAAATTGGCTGGTGAGCCTCTTTTCCTTTTTATTAATTAAAGCATCACTTTGTGGCTTCAGCAATCAGTTTCCTCTCCTTTTTCTCTCGCCCGGTTATTTTTGTGTTTTGTTACTTCCCTTTGTACCCCTAGTTTAGGAGGGAACGTAACAACTAACATTACTTTTTTTTGTCTCCAGAAATTCAGGGAAAAACTACCGTCCTATAACAAAAAAGAGGTACGTTTTACATTGTACTCAAATTAATGAATAATTCAGCAAATAATCTCATCTCCATCATAATTCACATTTCTGCTAAAAAAAACAATTCCTTCAGTTTGAAATGTGATCATCATTTATCATCACCCTTCTCCTTCTCCTCATCTCATAAATCCTTCATGCCTTCATCTTCCCGTCCTCAGGAGCTTGTGCAACTGATCAACTCTAGCCGGGTCCTGGTGGTGAGCGGGGAGACGGGCTGTGGAAAGACCACCCAGGTCACCCAGTTCATCCTGGATGACTACATCAACAGAGGAGTGGGCTCGATGTGTCGGGTGGTCTGCACGCAGCCTCGGCGAATCAGTGCCATCTCGGTATGCTCTCTATGTGTCTTTCATATCTGACTGTGTTGGATTGTGTTGCAATGTGCATACTGAGGATAGATGTGTGATATGATGTTTATGCACACTGTCTGCATACATAATTTCTGGCTTCAGTCATGTAAATTAGATAGCTATTCTTTGTGCTGATTATTTTCTTGAATGTATTTTTCTCTCAGGTAGCAGAGCGTGTATCAGCGGAGAGGGCAGAAAGTGTAGGAAATGGAAATTCATGTGGTTACCAAATCCGCCTGCAAAGGTAAGACAGTCTCTTTAAACATATGAGGCATGGAATGAAGTACTGTGATTGTGTAGCGTCACCAGTGTTAGGGTTGCAGGTAAACTCTTTGTTTTATTGGTACTGATGATATGATGTCTGAACCACATGCTAGTGTAGATAAATAAAAGGCTAGTAGGCCAAATATTACACAGGATACAAGCATTTTCATTGAAAAGTCATTTTAATTCCATTGAAGCCATTCTCTGATTTGGTGGCCTTTAAATGTCCTTGGTGCAGTTGTCCTGAGGATCGTGTTTGATTCAAACTGTAATGAAAAAGGCAGTTATAAATATATATATGTTCATCTTTGTTTAATTATAAACAAGGTCACATTTGACATGAATCCGCAATGATGCCTATCAAGACTGTCAATATTAATTTTCCCCGGGCGCCGTACATAATGGCAGCACACTGCTCCTAACACTAGGATGGGTCAAATGCAGAGAAACCGTTTCGTTACATAGTACCTGTACTACGTGATGACCATAAGTTGAATCTTCAATCTTCTTCTTCAATTAATTTCTTCCTTAATGGATGCCCAACATGAAGATAGATAAGAGGACTCTATAAGATACATGAATACCACAGAAAATAGTTTTTTCTGAAGGACAGGAGACATATTAGTTGGGAATGATCATCCGAGAACAAGTGCATGGAAAGAAATGGACAAAGCTGGGGAGTGAGCTGAGAGTTATTGGAGACAAGAGGGTGCATCAATCTAAAGTGAGTATGGAGTATGAGAGAGGATGAGATGGATGCACCAAAAGGGGAATCAAAGACGCAACTCAGCACTGATATGAAGAGAGACTGATACAGGGGATAAGAAGTCAAATTAACTCGGTGCTAGACTGTTCTAAATCTTTTTATGGGATGCGATATCTTTGTGAAGTTGCATTAAATTACTGCAATTAAACTCTTCATGGAAGAATAACTGTCCCTAAAGCACTGTTTTGTATCAAAGCGCTTAAATACAGCCCAAACCATTTAGAAAGGCTCAGCTGTCACCGCCACTGATGGAGACCATGGGTGGCTCTAGTGGATAAATCCAAAAGCTTTGTTACATTTCTGTTGATGTGCCAGCTCCTCAGACTGATTTTTAAATAAGTTCACTTTTCAAGTACTCGTTTGTCTCTCAGTGGGTCATCTACATCTTTGAAAAAAACAAAACACAAATTGGCTAGAAGAAAATACATCTATTATTTGGGAACTTAGGTTTCATCTGCAGGGAAGAAGTTTATTAGTCTGCACAACTCAGGCAGTGCAGACAGCAAATGATGCGTGGTTATAATAATCATAAAGTAGTTTAGAGAAAGTAAGATTGATCTGATAATTCAAAGCTGTCATTAACAGAGACAGTTAAACACTTGTGTTTGGGATGAACATTATTAATGGCAGTATAATGTGTGTAGATAACTGATGAGCAGTGTGCTGAATCAACATGCACTTTTGCATTTTAATCTCTTGCTAACACAGCTTGGGATCTCAGCTACAATCCATTTAGTTGTTACACTAAATGGATTCCGAACTAGACGAAGCGGGAAACTGTTCTGGGGCCTGATGTCTACAGAGAGTCAGCTAGTCTTTGCTAATTCAATTGAAATCCTGTTTGGGGATATGCCCTGTTAAAGTACAAACAGATCAGATGAGAGCCTTAGTGCTGCTTTATTACCTAACTTTGAGGCTGTTTCTGCAAATCCTTGTGATAAAACGTAGATTCAAGTGTGTGCTTTCATGTTACATAATACTCATTTAATTTGTGATGAATCAGATAACCATACCCTGCCACCAGTATTGCATTATTGACAAAGATGTGCACATTTAACATAGAGCGTGATGGTTTGGGGGTCAATAGAGGCCCAGCAGCTATTTTCCCTGTGGCACCTCAGCAGATGAATCCAGCCAAAACGCCGGGAGCCCTGCTCCTTTGTCATTTTAACTTTATAATTAACATGCCCGATTCCTGCCCAATGACTCTATTTCTCTGTTATTTTATCTGCTTTCTTCAATGTATTATTTATGTTGTTTTATCATTGCTTTTGGTGAGGTTTAATTATAACCTATAAGCTTTTTTATTTATTTGGTTGTTTATTTTAACACTGATGTATGATAATAATTCTTCGTAACCCTGTGCTTCATAAAAAGAACTGCTTCATAATATATATATATATATACGTATTATTGTTATTGCTGTTATTTCTCTTAATGTTTTTTCAGAAATGTCACATTTGCAAGCATCAATTATATAAAAAGCTTCTTATGTAGTTCAGCTGACAGTAAAATACATTTGTCCAATGTGTCATAAGAGAGGCCGCTTTGTATGGAATTAAAATAAGTGGAAAGTCATTTCACTAATTGCTATTCAAGAGAGAAACTTTTATCACTAATACTTAAGCAAAGTATGATATAAAGATAGTGTGAACATAAATGCCTATTACAGCCAATCACATTTCTGTATCAGCAACATCCATCGCAGCTTTATGCCCTCTTCTTTGTCCCGGCTGAGCATCAAAAGATTTCCGCTATGAAATACTCTTAGAGCACCCAACTATAAAACTCCTAAAATAGACCAGGAGCGTGGAAATAAAGGAAAGATAATGGGATCTTTTGTTGTCACATTCACACATGTAGGAACATTAACCAGAGACTCATTATAGTATCTTTGTCTTAACTTTATGAAAAGTCTTGATTTGTGTCATTTGGAAAATGGAAATACTTTTTTCTCTTCCCTTTTCTCAGCCGGTTACCACGGAAACAGGGTTCGGTCTTGTACTGTACAACAGGCATAATTCTTCAGTGGCTTCGCTCAGACCCGTAAGTCCCCACTCTGTTTTATCCCCATTGATTGATGGAGCATTAGTATGGGTCCTCATTCTTAAAGTCAGGGAAATGAAGACACACACACACACACACACACACACACACACACACACACACACACACACACACACACAGATTTTTGTGGAGAAGCTGGTCACGCGGGCCTTCAAGAAATCTAAAGTGAGGCACACTATTGTGGACCACAGGGACATCATTAACCTGTTAAGCGCCATAGCCCCCGGGGGCTTTTCATGAAATGTTCACGAAACTGTGTCTCAGGGCTTCTTAACACACACGCACACACACACACACATAGGGATGGGTACCGAGCCCCGGTTTTAATCGGGCCCCGGGGCTGAATTATTAAAGACCGTGGTACCGTTAAGCTCCGACGTTATCGGTCTTTTTATCGGTACTGGAGACATGTAAAATATATGTCATATGTATTATTGCTACACAAACATTATATTGCAGTTTTAGTGTCGCCAACTCCGTTTCTAATATGCAAAAAGACTGCAAAATGCGTCTATGATTATGTTTAGTATTTTCGATCTTTCCAATCCAGACGAGAGATCTCTCTCCCCCGACACCAGTGACTCATCCCTGCATGCTCATCCTTGCATTCTGAATGCATTCGGGAAAAGCACAGAAACTAAGTGAGGGTGCCAGCTTTTCTTGTTGTTCTGCTTCACTGTTTTTCAAAGTTGGCACGACTCTATTGAGTCACTTAAAGGTCCCATGTCATGGCCATTTCTACTGATCATAATTCCATTGTTGAGGTCTACTAGAACAGATTTACATTGTGCAATTTTTCAAACTCACATTGGTTTCTCATGCAGCATCTCTGTATGTGTATTCACTCTCTGTCCTAAACGGCTTGTTGGAGCTCCTGCCCCCCCTCCCTGTGAGCCCACTGTGCTCTGATTGGTCAGCTCGCCCACTCTGTTCTGATGAGTCCACCACCGTTACAGCGGAACATCAGTGATTATGTGTTACAATGGCGTTTGTTAGCAACCAGAAAATGACACCAGTAATGACAAACAGATGAGAATGCTGCGTGGGTTCTGGGTGCCGTGTCGGCGGGACGTTGCGTGGTGTAAGCGCGCCACAGTTTCGCCGCTGCGAGGCTCCACTAGCACCCCCCCCCCCAGCGCGTCACAGTTTCGTCGCTGAGAGAGTGTGTGTGTGTGAGGAGCTCCACGGATTGGTCCATTTGGACCAATGGGTCCATTTGGGTATGGTCACGTCACTGTACCCAGGAAAAAAAAGAAAGATCTCCAACGAGGCGTTCTGGGGCAGCATAGACAGGTCTTTTCTGTGTTAGAGTTTTATTCGCTACAGGGTGTACTTTAAGGGTGTGTGACTTTGCAGACCGTTTACATAACACACAAGGGGACGGGTAATAACCAGAAAAGCATGTCACAATGCACAACTACTGTACCGACTTGAACTAAAACCTCTAACATAAAAATGTTTTTTTTTCATATACGCTTAACTTTTTAGTAACTATGCGGCAAAATGTAAAAAATATAGATAACGACCAAACTAATAACATGAGCTTTATTTGACAGACATATTAGATACAGAGTTGCTATTTGTCAGGAGAGATGAGGAGGTACAGACATTTGATCTAAAGCAAAGACTTTACAGGAGAGGTGTCATGGCCATTTCCACTGATCATAATTCCATTGTTGAGGTATACTAAAATAGATTTATATTATGCATTTTTCCAAACTCACATTGGTTTCTCATACAGCATCTCTGTAAACTGCGTGTATTCACTGAATTTCACTCTCTGCCTTTAACGGCTCGTTGTAGCTCCAAAAGCTCCAGCCCCCACCCTCCCTGTGAGCACAGTGTGCTCTGATTGGTCGGGACGTTGTGAATCGCGCTGAGCTCCGTGGAGGTGTTGTTTCCTTGTTTAGGATACATAGCGAAACACAGCCAAACTCATCCTGAGCACACGCAAACTCACAGTCGAAGTAAAAACAATAAGTGTGGCTTGATATTGAGTAAGAAAAAGGTTGATAAACGCTGTGAGAATGGGTCTGCAGAGAGAATTTCGCCGCGATCCCAACTGTCTGTTATCAGCCTGCAGCCAGGGAGGAGAAATCAGCTGAGCTGCCTGCTCCCTGCACACAGATGTGTGTGTGAGGAAGTCTGTGGATTGGTCAATTTGGACCAATCAGCGGGGGCTTAACGTAACGGCTCCGCGGACGTAACGTAACGGCTCCACGGATTGGTCCATTTCGTTCCGGGTACGGCTTGACATCATGCCGTCCCGGGAAGAATCAAATGGTCAATGACGTATCTCCAACGAGGCGTTTTGGGGAGGTAGAGTTTTACTCGCTACAGGGTGTACCTTGAGGGTTTTGACTCTGCACACCGTTTACATGCATAAAAACCTTCATAACACACAAGGGGACGGGTAATAACCGGAAAAGCATGACACCTCTCCTTTAACAATTTCTCCGGATTTTTGTGTGTGTCAGAATGTTGTCTAGTATCAGCCACCTGGTTTTGGACGAAATCCACGAGAGGAACCTGCAATCTGACGTTTTGCTCGTCATCGTCAAGGAACTACTTAACCTTCGAGATGACCTCAAGGTCATCCTCATGAGTGCCACGCTCAATGCAGAGAAGTTTTCAAAGTTTTTTGGTATGCAGCCCCCCAAATGACAAACTAAAGTTGGTTTATTAATATTCTTGCTTTGTATATTGATTTTGATTGTTCCTCCTTCTTATGTATACCTTTTCCTCTGACAAACATTTAGACAACTGTCCAGTTATCCACATCCCTGGTTTGACGTTCCCAGTGGAAGAGTTCTTGCTGGAGGATATCGTGGAGCTGACGAGGTACAGCAACACTGCTCCACAACACACTCATTAACTCCCAAACATGTACAGACAAAAACAAATAGAACCTTTATAACCCTTTTTTATTTTTGATTTAATCTATTATAAACCACTTTGTGTATCTGCCAGTTATCGCCCTAAGAATTCAGACCGCCGGCCCTCATGGAAGAAAGGCTTTATGCAGGGCCGCCAGTCCAGACCTGAGAAGGAGGAGAAGGAGGCTGAGTACAAGGAGAGCTGGCCTTGTTATGCGCGCACTCTGCAGGACAGGTGAGTTTGTTAGAACAGCAGAATAGTGAGATCTGCGATTTGCCCACGTGATAGATGGGTTTTAAGTTGGAGAATGGGATGGTTTGTTTTTGTGACCTTCACAGTTTTAAATAAATAAATCCTCTTCTTTGTGAATTTGAATTTAAAGATTACCATAGATTGTAAAAGCTGAATATAGAGCCGGGTGAGATCTTTGAAACACTTGACCCTCTGAAAGATTTGTCACTTGAACACTGATTTATGCATCTGCAGTGAAGTGTTGTACCCAATGTCGGTGCAGTTTATACTGAAATAAATAGAAAAGAAAGCAGTGTTTTAGCTTCTTTAGCTAGTATATTACCTCCCCCACATTTATTAAGACCAGCTCACCTTAAGATGTCATCGTCCTCCCAATAACACTCAACAAACAGTCTTCTTCATTTAGTACAGATTGGCAGTGCGGTCCCTTTTCTTTGCCAACATTATTACTGCTCTGTGTCGCAAAAACACAGAATGTGCGAGAATGTAAACATGATTACTTCTAGTGTACTGTACTTGTAAAAAGCACAACGCTGTCTCTACGCACAGCACTACCATCATGTTGTGAGTCAATGTGCAGAGCTTAATCACTTTTAATACTGTATGCCGGTAAGACTGTGATTCCAAAGTATAATTCAGGCTTGGTTGGCATTTTAAGATTCACCCATAGGACCCATATAGCACTCCATCATTGAATGGAAGGGGATTTATAGTAAGGATAAAAAAGATGATTACGTCTGTGCGGTTATTCTGCTGACTTTGTGTGTGTTTGTCTGCGTGTGTGAGAGAGATGGATATTGGCCCACAGTAAGCCAGCCTGAGCCTTTTGGAGTTGCAATATCTGTACCGTATATATGTATGCCTCGTGTGTAGTCTGTTCCAAGGGCTGCCTGACCTGCTGCTGGGTTGCACTTGCAGCAGGGGGTGTTATTTATTTAAGTGCCCTGAACTGATGTCCCTATGAAATAACTTCTGTCGCAGTAAGATCATGTCAATTGCAGGGTGACTTTATTCCTATATATTCTCATGCTAAAAGCAGCTCTTAATAACAGCTGAACCTTTTTTCGGGAATGTTATCGGAATAGATTAGTGCAACATCCATATAGTAAGGGGTGCAATATTTGTTAAATGGGAAATATGTGTCAAAATACCATTCTTCTAAATTAAATATTTTGGTGTTGCAGAGACGTCTCGGCCTACAATTCATATTCTACAGACTTAGGAAAAATAATCTTTAATTGGTACACACAATCACCATTTACATTTGTTTTTATTGTGATTCATATTGCAATTTAAATACCAGACAAAAATAAACATAGTCACATATTTTGCAAAACCTTCTCTCAATCCACTTTCCAAAGCTGATATTTTATTCACCCCTTGCATATTTTTTAACCTCTGATGTTTAATGTTTGTATCCCTAATGATTGTTTAACTTGCATTTGGTGTCACAACAGTCAAAAATAAACTACAGTCATACATTTTTGTTGATGAATTATTGTATGCCGATTAGGTTTAGCGGATGGTTGTGTAAATTGGGCGGGGCAATAGTTGACTGGTGGTTGTTGGGAGAGGGCCATTAAACACACTTTATCCCTGGGGCCCCTGGTACATAAATGCAGACGTAGTCATCAGGGGCTTATATAAACATTGATCCTGTTTTACCTTTTTTCTTTTGATCATTCATTCTGTTCACACTGAGGATCCTGCAGCTTGAGTTTGGTCAATTGAGTTGGTATCTCCCAAAGGTACAGCAAATGTTTTTTAAATGTAATTTTTCTGTTTTGCATGCGTCTCATGTTTTACAGATACTCCGACCACACCATTGAGGCCCTAGAGATGTTTGACAATGATGACAAGATTGACCTTGAGCTGATCTTGGCACTGATTCGCCACATTGTGCTCAAAGAGGAGGTGAGATTAACGTTGTATGTCTGCTTTGAGGGCTGAGTGACTGCCTCCTGGTGTCTTTAAATTAGATTCTCAAGAGGTGCGTTTGTACTCCATTTTATGGAAATTGGATTCCTGTGAGTTTGTTATATGAGTCTGGGTAGTCTAAAAGACCTGAGTGCTTCACAAGAAAAGAGATGTGTTTTTTGGCATGAAAACTCCGACTGTAGACAGGCCGACAGTGCAGTTGTCCATTAGGAAGATTAAACTGCAGTTCAAAGAAACTCACAAAAGGAGAATTACAGTGCATTCCTAGGTAGAGCAGATGGAAGCAACAGGAGGGCTCGCTTCCAAACAGAGCGACATTAGATCAGAGGATACAACACAGAACCTGGCAGCAGATCTGTGCTAATGAGTGATCGAACAGATGCTCTCTCAGCGCACATCAATTCCCTATTTTCTCCTTCCAGTTCTTGTTACATTACCAAGTTTTGATGTTATTTCAGTGTTCGATTCAGACTTTGGTAATATGGAATATAATGACAAACGTCTATTTTTTTTGTGTGAATTTTTTACTTTTTCAGTACACATGGTAACTACCTCCACATCAGAATTATTGGTGCAGACAAAATATAGGCAAAGCAGAACATTTCGAAAAATAGTGAATTCCCTTTTCACATATTTTTTCGCAGCATGCTTCTTTAGTTACTGTGTGGGGAAACAAAGCTGCAGATTGGAATAGGCTATCACAATCAATTTAGTTTACCCTTTTTTTCAGTATAGTATAAACAAGGGTGAGGACAATTCAGGAAAGTGCTAGAATCGATGGAAGTGAAATAATTGACACACGGTCTGCCCTAACTTACTCTGTATTTTCCTAAGTGAAGTCAAACTAGTCTGACTTATTTGTCAGTTTGTGGCTGTGTATGTGGACCACGTATACGAGAGAGCAACAGAAAAAAGAGACAGGCCAGGAATGAGGAGTGACTAATGCAGATTGACAGAATAATTATCTCCTTCCCTATGAAGCCGTATCTCTATCCGTCACGGCCACACTGAGCCATTGGACCAGCTGATTCGCCGTGGCATTGTCAAACGGCCGAGCGGGAACTGGCTGACTTGCCGTGTCGGCGTTCTGAACCGAGGCTACGGGCCGTCTGCCAGCCTTTCCACTGTGATGATTGCTTAATTATGTTGCAGGAGTCTGGGATTAGACACCTCGGGGGATGACATGCAGGCATTAATGAACGCCTGCTGGGTGCAACTAAGTGTGTGTATGTGGAGAGTGTGTGTGTGCGTGCCAAATAGTAGGCCAACTCTACAGCACTTACTGTGCTGTTGTTGATTATTTAGTTGGAATTGGTCAGAGTGTGTTTCTGTCCTGCATGTGTGAGGACATGTGTTTCTGTCAGATTGTGAGTACACACACTGCCTGCATCTCTCTCGTCCTCCTCTCTCTTTTTCTCTTTCACATGCACGGGCATTAACACACATGTGTATGGTCCCATGTGGGTGCCAGTATCTGAGCACTGGTAATAATAATTAGCTGTAATTAAAAGGCAGGGGTGCTCAGGGCACAGAAGCTACTTTTTATCTCTGTTCTTCTTTCCTCTCAGGAAATGAAAAGTCCTTTTTATAGAGTGGGTTATTTTTCACCAGCGTGATATTATCCTGGGTATATTGTTTGCTTCAAGTTTGTTTCATGTCTGTGTTAATGATTTAGTCACTTAATTACCTTTCAAGATGCGACCTTACTTTTGTTTATAACTCTGTTTAAGTATGGGTATCAAACTCAATACTTTAAAGTACTGCCTGAAATGTTATCGTAGCACCTGCCAACATGGGCATCAATATCCTGGTTAAGTTCAATCTTATTCTTTCTTCAGACATTTATTGCCGTAAATCAGCAAATGAAGAAGAACCTAACTGTATACAATATATATATGTAAACATCTTGAAAGGCTGCTTGTGTTAAGACTACGTTAAACACACATGTATTGAGAAGTTTGTCATGTTATTAAGTGAAAATGGTTTATTGAAATACATGTTCATATTCCTCAAAAGAAGAAGTTGGAAAAAAAAGATCATATTTAGTATTATCAACCAATGCTCAAGCACTGATTGGCTCCAGGCTTACTGCTATAATCAAAAGAAAAAACTGGATATATAATGCTATATATGATTATAATCTGCTATAATATCCGGTCTTGCATGATTAATTGATTGATTCTCCGTGTCATAATGATGGCTGCTACTATAGTAACATTGCTCCTCCATTAATCACCCAAGGTACATTATTGATTGAAGCATGATGGGATGATGTTTTAAAGTTTGAGGAGCTGACACTTTCTTTTAGTTAAGTGGTCATCCATTTTATTTTTAGACGGCTTAATGTGCAGACATGTGCTCTGGCTGGAATACCTCCAACTCTCGCTCTGATCCATTTGTGTGTCTGTATGCCTCGATGTTGAGACTTTATCCCCGTGGTAATGTAGAGCAGAGGATGTCCTAGAGGGAAGATGTTGTCATAATGATGTTGGCAGGCGATGTCAGGGCCTATTGTGTGGCTAAATGTGGAGGTTCGGAGCTGAGGACACGGGCACCTTGTTCACTTGGCTCAGTTGTTGCTGAGACTCCTCTGGCTAATGGCTCTTCTCTGAAGCCCTGCTGGTTTTTTGTTTGTCTTTTCAGCTGCTAAGTGTTGTGTCATGCCTTTGTCTGACAGGAAGGAGCAATCTTGGTCTTCCTGCCTGGCTGGAGCGACATCAGCAGTCTCAATGACCTGCTCACGGCTCAGCAGATGTTCCGATCAGGTACAATAACAACAACCAACATTATGTGACACGAGCATACCAGTGACTTTCAGGTTACTATGCAGAAGAAGAGATCATTATTAAGCTACGGTTGTGCTCCACCCTAACATGTGTTCCGCTTATTGGTTCTTCACTTGGATGTTTACCCTTCACTGTGCAGAAAATGTTTCCCCAGAGTAGAACTCTATAATGTTTTTACATTCAATTACAACTAACAGAATTTAAAAAAAAGCTAATTTAATTAGAAATAACATGGATTTTAGAAAATACTGAATGGCCATTTCACCTTTGACTGACATTGTATAGACTAACAAGCAATTTATCAATGAAGGACACATTTCATAATTAGTGGAAATATGTGTTAGTTGCAGCCCTTGTGTTAGGTGAAACACTAACAAAACCTCCACTTCACAAACTGTAAATATAGTTTTCAGTAGTAGACTACGTTTTAGAATTTTACATTCTTAACCAAGTCTGAGGGGATCTTTAAAATATTGGATACAAAAAACAATGTCTGTGTTGTTTTCTGCTCATATTAAATAATAATAAACCAGATTATTTTATTGCATTTACCAGGACATCCAAGGTTACATTTGTAAATGTAATTGTTTCCAATTCACACACGAGCAGTATAATCTTGTTTGAGTTTGTCTTTGTGTCCTTTTGTGTTTCAGATCGGTTCGTTATCATCCCTCTGCATTCCCTCATGCCTACCGTTAATCAGACGATGGTCAGCATCCCTGTCTCTCTGTCTGTTTCTGTCTCTGCCTGTGTCTGTGGATTGTCCTGCTTTACTCCCTCTTCAATATCAATAAAGTCCATTCAATCTCATCTTTCTCCCTCACTCTTTTCAGGTGTTCAAAAGGCCTCCTCCTGGAGTTAGAAAGATTGTGATCGCTACCAATATAGCCGAGACCAGGTATATACGTGTCTGTGTGTGTGTGTGTGGGTGTGCTTTGTACTTATTTGTTTTTCTGTCTGATTTAGTATTTATTCCAGCCCCTTTTTTATTTCTCTTGCTCTTTTTCTCTCTCCACTACCCCCCACAGCATTACCATAGATGACGTTGTTTATGTGATAGACGGAGGCAAGATTAAAGAGACACACTTTGACACCAACAACAACATCAGCACTATGACTTCAGAGTGGGTCAGCCTGGCCAACGCTAAACAGAGGAAAGGACGTGCCGGCAGGTGTGTATGTTTATACGGTTATCTTTAAAACCAGGACATGCTCTATAACAGTGCCTCTGGGTATGCAATGCTAATTTAGAAGGATTATTATTCATTCTATGTGTCATGTCAGCTCTCTGTCACTCTGCCCCATGAGCCCTCTCCTTCCCATCTGTAACCGTAGTGCTAACAGTCTGGATGTTTCCAGTCGGTGACTCCAGACGTCTGTTTCTGTTAGCGGGCACTCACACTAAAGTGGAGCAAGGCCTTATTAGCAGGAGCTTCTTACAGTGTGACGTTTCATCCCACTGATTTTAAATTACGCTTTTTGTCACAGGACTGATAACCTATTTCTCTTTCCTTCTTTCCCACTCTCTTCTTGTTTCCAGAGTGTGTCCGGGGAAGTGCTATCACCTGTACAATGGTCTCAGAGCCAGCCTGCTGGATGCCTATCAATTACCTGAAATCATGAGGACACCGCTGGAGGAGCTCTGCCTGCAGATCAAGGTTGTGAATGTGCAGAGAGGAAGGGGGAGACAGACTGACAGAGAGAGACAAATATGTGTTGGCTGTTGAGATGAAGACAAGATTGCTGTGAATGAGTTGTGTGGGGACGAGGACAGTGTTGCTGCTTGTTGACATTGTATTGAAATACAGCCTCTCCTGCCTAATGAAAACTAGGGATTAGCATTCTGGGTTGACTCGTCCCCCTTGCTCTCCAGCTCTCTCTCTCTACCTCTTTTTGCTGACAACATAATCGCTTCTCTTCTGTATCTGTAGCTTTCATCTTTGGATGCTTACTATTTTTTCATCTCCTCTTTTGAAATACTCACACTCCACTCAGACATGTTTCAACCCAAGCTAATGGAACATTAAGCCAAAGTTCACTCAGAATCGAATGATTGTTATCTCCGGTGGCTTTATTGGATATGCTTTTGAGTGTGTTTTTTTCACGACTTTAGTCGAGTGCGTGTGTGATGTGGTTGAGAGAGGCGGACTAATGCATCAGTTTGTCCTTAAAGTGAGAGAAACACTGACGACATGCACACCCTGAGCAGACTCTAATGCACAAGCACTCCAACACCGACCTATTAGTCATTGAATTACTGTCGCTACCTTACACTTCAGTTCGTCACGGGTAGATTTGTTTTGTTTATTTTATAATCTCTCTTAGTGTAGAAGTGAATACAGATTTGAAAATGTTGATTTGAATGGTCTGATCTTTCATCATCATCTTATTTTTGTGCTCAGTTTTGGTTGTTTAGTCAACGTTATAACAGCAATATGAGCAAACCATGATACAAATAATCCATATATTTCCCACAATTCAGTGTTTGCCACACATGAAAAGCATATAGACAAACAGGGGTGGATTAATTTTGAAAAACAACATGTTTTTGCTGATACATGTGTAATGTGTTTTTCTGCCTAGATATTGAAGCTCGGGTCTATAGCCCAATTCCTAGAGAAAGCCCTGGACCCCCCGACTGAAAAGGCTGTTAACCTAGCCATCAAGAACCTCATTGACCTGGTAAGAAAGTGAAAAGATCATTCAAAATGTACTCAAGGTCTGCAACTAATGATACGTTTTATTGTTGAGTAATTTGAGAATTTTTCTGGTTTGTATCAGTTTTTTTTATTTGCTCTATGAAAACTACAGAAGATGTGCTCCCTGCAATTTCAGATTTGATGTCTTGATTAGTTTGTTTTGTACAATAAACAGTCTTTGTAATAGTAAATTGATCATTTTCAGGTTTTATTCTAACAATTGCAGTAATCTCTAAGCCAAAGATAATAGAAATGTTTGGTCTTTTTGCTTGAACAATTAAAACAATGATTCATTGATTTTCCAAATAGCCGGGTAGTAATTTTAGGCCAGTCACCTAATTCATTAATATTGTTTATTACAAAGTTCAGCTTTATTTAACCGTTTCTACCAACATTTATAGGAAGCGACACCATCTTGTGATGTGAGCATGTAGTTTCAAGGTCTACTGTCTGAAAGTGTTATCTACAAATCTTTCCAAAGATGTTCATCCTTTCATGGAGGAGGTAGGTCGAAAGAGGACTAAAAGAGAAATCGGTACTCATTCAAAGATTGAAAGGATAAAGCATGATCCTTTTTTCATGCTAACAGAATAGTTAAAATACTATGAAAATCAATAGAGGAAGTGGAACATGGGTTTGACAGTAACAACACTCAAAGCAGCAGTTAAGAGAGCCTTAATAAACCCCAATTCATATTATGTGATCAGGTTTAAAACATCTTTATAAATGTTGCATTGGTAGTGGCGTTTATATCACTGTGTACAAGAGAAGACGCGTTACATATTTATTTTAATTTGATAGAAGGTTGCACAGGTTTCCAAGTATGTGTCTAAAAGAACAGAAACGCTATAAATAACTATAATTTAACACCGAATGAACATTGAATGACTAACTCCTATATGTTTATGGTGAGGTATGGAATTTTAAAACTCATACATATGAAAATGGCTAACACTTTCTAATCATTTACTTAAAATAAAGGCACAAACTATGAAGCGTACTCCCTTATTATTTGAAGCACATAATTGCCTCTTCAGCCAACAAGATGACCTTTATCCCACACATGTCCAGAGTTACTGTAGTGAACTAGCAAACAAAGCCAAACAAGGTTACTTCACTAATCCGATTGAATGCTCATACACATCATTTTCAATTAAGTAAAGGGCTTTTGCTTTGCCTGAACTCTACGTGAACTGAAAGCTTTTAAAAGATTATTGCTGTGTTAACAAATGCTTTTTTCACTTGTTGAGCTGTAGATGACTGTGTGATTTCCTTCTGGTTTTTGTGACTGCGTTGTGTGTTAGAACGCCCTGGATCATTCAGAGAATCTGACAGCGCTGGGTTTCCACCTGGCTCGTCTGCCTGTGGAGCCTCACATCGGCAAACTCATCCTGTTCGGAGCCCTGTTGGGCTGCCTGGACCCCGTGTTCACCATCGCTGCTTCACTCAGCTTCAAAGACCCTTTCTTCATCCCCCTGGTAGGGCACTGAGTTCAGTGAGAGTTGCCAAAGAAATGTCGTTGTACTTTGTATGATGGCAATAAAGATATATTCTATTCTAAACATGAAAGCTTGTGCGACGGCGTCAAACGTCAACTCATTGCTGCACTCTCCTACTGACTTATTCAATTGCAAAGTTGGTCTTAAAGGGACCAATGTAAATTACTGCTTTATTTTATTGCTATCTTACTATATTTTTATTACAGTGTTCTTAATATAGTTCGCTATCTGTGTTCTTTTTTAAATGTTGTTTTTTATTTGTATGTATGACACCTAGTCAAATTCCTCATACGTGTGAAGCTACCTGGTAATAAATCCGTTTCTGATTCTGATATTTTTAAATGCGTCTGCCTCTCTCAGGGGAAAGAGAAGATGGCAGATATGAGGAGGAGGGTCCTGTCCAGAAACTCCAAGAGTGACCATCTCACTATTGTCAACGCCTTTCAGGTAAGAGAGCCACAACTGTCACATGTGTCCTACCTCTCGGTCTGATGTATAAATATATATATATAAATGGATCCCGTCTTAAAAACGGGCCGCTGACGTCACAGCCCTCTTAAACCGTGCTCCGCGCTGTAGTGGAAACGCGCCATTAATGTATCCGTTGATAGGGCTGGGAGGAGGCGAAACAGCGTGGTTCCAGGTGTGAGAGGGAGTACTGCTGGGACAACTTCCTGTCCGCCAACACACTCCAGGTGAGCCAGGCTGTGCTGATCTCTATACTGAAGTGCTGTTGAAAATAAAACGACATAACGTGTTAAAGTCAGCTTCTGCCTGGGCTGATACATCATGCAGCCTGTTTTAAAGTCGTTGTTTTATCATTTAGATGCTGCACAACATGAAGGGTCAGTTTGCTGACCATCTCATGAACACAGGCTTCGTCAGCAGCAGGGACCCCAAAGATCCCAAATCTAATGTCAACTCAGGTAACTGTCTGAAAATTGTCTTTTTTTTTATGGGATCTTAAACGGAGCATTAATTAAATTCAATGTGGGACATGTATATGGAGCAGAACTCATTTTGTTTTTCCTCTATCTCTCACTTCCTTCCTCAGACAATGAGAAGTTAATCAAGGCAGTGATTGTAGCCGGTCTCTACCCGAAGGTGGCCATGATCAAACCATCTCACAGCAAAAAGAGGCCGGGGTGAGTCTGCTAATTCAAAGAGGGAGCTGAACATAGACGGATAGAAAAGAGCTGCCGAGCATAGAGAAGTGCACATCATTGTTATTGATCTTTAGACAGAAATGGAGCCGTCACACTGCAATATCTCAGCAGACCTCTCAGGTAAGAGCTGTGACAATTACCTGAGGCTGTGCCGAAACAATGTTAAGAAAAAACAGGTGCTTCTGCAGCTAAAGATCACTGCACTCATCATAAAATTGCCCTCAGGCAGCTGTCGTAGAGTGTGTGCAAAAGACAGACGCACGCTACAGGCAGACGGACCCATCCTCTCACAGTAGAGCTGTCACTGTTGTTCGTCAGTGACCCAGTTTCACAGTGAGGTTGTGATGGTAAGTCATTCTCAACAGTGTTGATGGCAAGCCAAGTTTTCCCGTCCACGCCACATCTCTGAGTTATTTAATGGATTTATGGCTCGATGAAGAACTTGTTGTTTGTTTTGCTGCTGTCTGGTACAAGCAGCTTTGTTCCCTGCAGTCAAGCAGTCTGTTTTGTCTTGCTGACACAAACACAGTGTTACTTTTATTTAAAGGTTTGCCAACTGCATCACAACTTGTCTTTGGAAGCCTCTGAGCTAAAATGAAGGAGGCTTTCTTTTTGCGTCGTATAAACAAGACAAAAGCACCTGATGGGATGTTTCCAAAACTACTTTCTCAATCAAATCATTTTAATTTAAATGAAGATTCATTTTAACAAAATGTATTCTGGTTATTTGGACCAAGTGATACAATAAAATAATATATCTGTTTTAAGTGTAATAAGGTAGGATCTCTGTAAAACATTAAAACATACTGAAAGCGTGCTCTCTGGTTTTGAGTTTTCCTCTAATAAGACAATGGACAGAAACAAATCTAATCTAAATCTATGCAGCATAAACGGAGTGATTGTGTTTTATTAAAAAAATCATCTTCCTTTTCTGGAGCTTACATATCAGCAACGCAAATTCAATTCACTGTACAGATTAAAGGTGGGGTAGGTAAGTTTGAGAAACCGGCTCGAGATACACTTTTTGTTATATTCCATGGAATGCTCTTAACATCCCGATAGCAATGAATATCTTAAGTGCTTTGACAAAAAATCCATAAAAAAATGTCATCTGTGGAAGCCGTAATACTGTAAAAAGTATGGCCAATCATTTTAGCCGGCCCGGCTAAAATAACTGGATAGCCTACCTGCCTGTCAGCCTTCCATCGGGGCACAAACTTATCTCGTGCCCTCATTGGTCATGTTCGTGTGTCTTGGAGGAGGGGCTCTGTAAGGAAGTGGCAGATTTTCTCCGGTTGTGTATTTTCAAATTCTAGCGATCTCGAGCCGGTTTCTCAAACTTACCTACCCCACCTTTAAGGTTAGTTATACTAGTGTTACCAACATTGCCCCATGTGACATCATTTGAGACAATATTTGTATTATGTTGTAAAATATTTGGAGTTCCCTTTATATCTCTTTATCATATACTGCAGTCCTGGAAACATGTGTGGCAATAATTCTGTTTTAAACCAGCTATGACAACTAACAATTATTTCAAATATTTAGGAAAATATAACTATAACAGTTTTCACAACACTGACGGTGTCTACTTCCAATTCCTTGTTCTTTTTGGACAAAAGATGAAAACGTTAGTTGGTCCATTAACAAAGTTGCTGCAAAATGTCTGTCAACCAAGAAATCCCTAAATGTTGCCCTATCATTGCTTTTTCCACCTTCAGCAGTGATACCAGTTTCACATTCTCTCCTTTTCTCAGTTAACGAGATAACGATGCGAAGAAAATCGACCCCATTTTGCCAACCGAGTGTTTGAGATGTGAACACACACACTGACATATTTTATTTCTCAGGGTCAAGGTGTACACCCAGGCTGATGGAAAGGTGTGCATCCACCCAAAATCAGTCAATGCTGAAGAGACGGAGTTCAACTACAAGTGGCTCGTCTACCACCTGAAGATGAGAACGAGCAGTGTGAGTAGGCCAGGGGATAAATAAGCACATAATACTGCGTTTCAACTGCTGCGTGAATGTTTATTATAGTTGAGTGTGCATTGCTGGGTTGGATTTGTACATATGAAGGGTGCATGTGAGTGGGGAAAGGGCCATTGGTTAAAGGTTGGCAGTGGTGCCACGCCAGCTTTCCACTGAATGAATATTTGATTAAAACGCTGCCTTTCAACTCTCTCTCAAAGGCGCTTGTGCTTCAAAGCCTCCAGACACAATGTAAGAGGTGGTGATGGTGGGGGGGACAAAACGGTCAATGCGGCTCCCTGACTACTTCTATCTTTTTCTCTTTTGCTGTTTTTTCTACCCCTCTTCACCCTGCCATTTTCACTTCTCTCCCATCCACCAGTCTTTGTTCTTTCTGTGGTGTCTCTCTTTGTGAGTGTTACCATTCGGCAGAAAAACACCTTTCATGTCCTCTCTGATTGCCGCCTGTGCCTTTGTCTCTCCCTTTGCTGCCTTGGTCGTTATATAGATTTTTTTGTTGTTGCTGGATTTCACCATTATTTTTGCCGGCATTCAATGCTTTTTAAATGCTTATTTATTATTTGATTTTTTTGTGTGGTCTGTATGCATTTGTGTCTCTTATGAAAGTAAGGTATTCTGAGACTGTGAGACTTTCAAGGTTGTTTAAAGAGAGAGAAAGGAAAGCAGAAGACCAGGGCCATTTAAAAAAATAAAAAAAGGATGTAAATTGAAGGATGACGTCAAACTTTATCTCCTCTGACGCATGTGCCTCTGGTGATCCATTACATTACACATTCATGGGGCAAATGAAGTTTTTTCTCCTTGTCTCTTTTCTTCACCTTTTGTCTACTTCTCTCTGATGCTCGTTACCAACATTTCTTTATGTTACCTTGCTGAAATAGCTTTTCTTTTACTTATGTCTGCTGCTTATGTAAACTCTATGGCTTTGGCCTTCAGAGTGTCTGCATACAGATCAGTGCACAACATAAAAGCAACAGTTCTATGTACTGTCTGAGCATTGAAAACGTACCTTGTCATTTCTTTTATAAAATGTTTTTTTTTTATTTGGATACACCTACTATGGATGAGCAGCTGTCACAGGGAGAGAAATTGATGGAAAACACATTTGCGAGATTCACTAACAGGGCAACATGACATTTCTCCTAACACTGGAGGCACTGAAACACATTTCAAACTTGCACAGCCACTCTTCACCAATAGGACACTTTCAGCCCACACCACAGAGTAGCTGTAGGGCCATGTGTGTCATAATGATCCCGCTCACTGTCACCGAGCGTGTTAGCGTGTTTGTTTGTTTGAAATCTCCCGTCGTGGTGTGTTTGCATCATCTCTCTGCTTGTCCTCAGATCTTCCTGTACGATTGCACTGAGGTGTCCCCGTTCTCACTGCTGTTCTTTGGAGGAGACATCACAATCCAGAAGGACGAGGACCAGGAGACCATCGCCGTGGACCAGTGGATCGTCTTCAGCTCCCCGGCACGCATCGCTCACCTGGTCAAGGTAGGTGACAGGATGCACTCAAAACAAAGCTAATGGCGAGTTGAGTTAACTGACCTCCCCTTCCGGCCTTTTTCTACAGAGTTTAAAGAAAGAGTTGGATTCTCTTCTGGAAGAGAAAATTCGTAACCCTGCTCCTGTAGACTGGCAAAACCGTCAGTCCAAAGACTGTGCTGTCATCACCGCCATCATAGACCTCATCACCACCCAGGATAAGCCTACAGTCAGCACCAAAGGCGGAATATGGAGGCCTGCTCCGAGAGGACAACACACTCACTTCAAAGACGACAATGATGATGACGATGATGATTAGAAGAGGCCAGGTTCTTGGCTGGATATGAAAAGAAGAACTTCAAACCTAAATCCTTGGACACAGAGGTTAGATGAGATATTCATAATAACCAGCTGGTCTCCTTGATGATGCTCCTGAAGGCCAAACCCAGGACACAAGATTACTGGAGAACATTCTGCACTGTAATTGTTTGCCTATTCTGTCATTATTTTTGCAAGGACCAATCCGTGTTTGGATACCCTCAGTAGCTGTTTTGTTTATTTTGTACAATTCTGGTTAAGTTAAATCTAGCTCTTATTTTCAAGCAATATCACTTATGGATTGCGCAATAAAGAACAAATGGGCAAACAAAATGTCTGGGTCAGTTTAATCTGCCCTACTATGCTGTAAAATTGTAGGAATTCAAACACAAAATAACCATTACCCATGGAATGGAATTTTTCTGAGTGAATGTGGGATTGCACAATTTCTTCAGAGTTTTGAGAGAGCAATCACTAACATCACCTGGGTAGTATTTGGTTGGAATGAACACCTGCATAGCTGTAAACCTTCAGCAGCACACGGCTGCATATTTGATTTAAAAGCCCAAATCTCAAACGTGCTGTTGGCTCAAGGATTTATGCACCTTCTTGATGTATCTGCACTGAATGTCCAGAGAACTCATAGTTGATTTATTGTGTTCACTTGATGAATAAAAGTAGTCATTTTCTTTGGTCTATCTATCATAGGTGCTTAGGGAAAAGAGATGTCATGTTGATCATTGAGAGTCCATGACAGGCTCAAAGTAATCCAGCTTTTATTTATGGTGGCTGATTGAAATTCATAAAGTTGACTAGACAAGTTTCTGCAATATAAATCTGTATTTAAAAAAAAAAAAAATAACATGTTACAATTCAGGCTGTTTTACATATTTACATGTTCACAGATTTACAATAGTTACAAGTCAAGGAAGCAATTGAAATAAAATAAAAATATGCTTAGATGTGTGGTAACACATTTCATTTTCCCTGAGTGCAAACGCAAAGCTTCATCTATACTCGGGTCCTTCCAGCTGGAGGCTCTGCCCGCTACTGTCATACCTCGCTTCATGCAGCTCAACGGTGGTTGTGGTTGTCATTTGGGCTAGGCCAGAGTGTTGGGATTGATAGGTTGTTTTATCATCACACTCTGACCAAGCCATTCATTTACTTTGGCTGGGCATGGCAACACTAAAAAGATGACTCACACTGGACAATCACATTAAAAGCAGGGCTGGGCAGGACTGTTGCTCTCACCATCAGCACACACATTCATTTCAGCTTGTAGCATCGCAGATATAAATCCTAAGGGGAATATTTATATACACACCCCTGGCTGGCATCTAATGTGTGTGATATTTCAGGGTGTCCAAATCTTTGAGTGGATGGAGGGAAAATGGCACTTGTGACACAAGAGTAAAGTCTGATTCATGGTGATGACATTAACTGGTGACAAATGGCAAGGTAGAGAACAGATACTAGGCCCTTCTGCCTAAGCGGCGGATGACATATGATAGTAAATCTCCAAGAGGACTGTCATTCTTAATATCAAATTAATTATGAATTATTCTATTTACATTGGCATTCGGACAAGTTGCATTTGTTTTTGTCCTGCAGCTCAACTGAAATCTTATTGTATTTTCTTGTAAATATAATTATAATCATTTCACTTGCCATCAGATGCTTCTGAAATCATTTCTTCACTAGCCCACACACTGTCGGAAGCTGCCAATTCCACCGTCTTGCCTTGTTATCACTTCAACAATCAGAGTGACATTGTTACTGGCAACGCTCCTAATCACATGGCCTGATCCTCATTAATAGAGCTCACATTTGGCAGTTATTTTCACACTGTTTGGTCTACTTTACCTATAGCGGTACTGTAGTCTCATTATTACATTGCACATCACAAGAAGAAATATGTTTGGAAAAAATAAAACATTTACAAATTTCACACCAACACTTGTTATGCAGCAGGGTGTTGAAAGCAGTGACTCGGGCAGTGGGTGTTTTCCAACCAAACGGGGAATTAATGAATGTGACAGATCCCACCCACACAGGGACTGATGATCAGTAATTAAGGAAATCTGCTCTCCTGCTGAGTTTGTTCTGAACAATCTTTGCTTTGAAACTCAGACGGCATGCCTGATATTTAGTGGAGGTGGAGCAGAAGTTTTAAGAATAATGGGTTAATCTTTAAATCACTGTAAGAAAAAGTCTAGTTTGTTCCATTTCGTCCCTGAAGGCCGGTCAATGCTGCTGTTACTGAACTCATACGTCTGGGTTTAAGTTTTAAAAAGGCAGGTCACTGGTGAGTCAAAGGGTGAGAAAAGTCCTCTGTGGTTCAATCACCGGAGTCATCCTGCTCACACGTTAGTTTCCAACCCCTGCAGGCGATCCATCCTCTGCATGTTGCGCTCAATGCTGGCCTGGCATGTGATTGGTTCGGCACACTCGGCGAGGAACCACCCCCTTTCTCCATCGCGCAGTCGCTCACCCTCATACCAGCCTAAGAGAAGAAATTGCACTATTACAGGAATATTAAAGCACTTGTTGCTTTTTTTTTATGCTATTACCATGACACTGCTTTTGATGGTCAATGCTCTCTGTTCTTTACATGAAAATCAGTTGCTATGGTCACCAAAAGGGAAAGGTTCCCAAGGCCTCGGTATGTTTGTGTAGGTTTAAAAACACATCTTCAAACAGGTGTAAAGTCCATTATGTAAGACAGATGGGATTTGAAAAACGGCAAAGAGAGCTTATAAAAGTGCATGATGAAAAGGATGCAGTTGAAACAGGTTAGTGGAACATGAGAGGAATACTAAAGAGGGTGAGGAAAGCTATAGAAAGAGCTAGAGAACAAGACAGAGAGATTAGGACGAGAGAGAGAGAGAGAGAGCGAGCGAGCTAACATACCATCTTCTACAGTCTGCGAGACCAGCACCACATCAGTCACCTGCAGGGACAACTCATCTGGCTGCTTGGCTGTGTACGTTCTGGTCACCTCCACCTGCATGACATCTAAAACAACACATGACAAGTCCATAAATCATTTCAGGTAAATTACACTGTCCCAAATTCAATATATCTGAGTTAACAAGCCAATTGTTTTGGAATTAATCTTAGGAAAACTGTTAATCAAAATGACCACAAGATGGCGCAATAGGCTAAAAAGGAGAGTTCAGTGAGCCTTTTCAAAACTGTGTGTGAAGAAATGTTTTGTAGCAACTTACAGGTTTTGTCCTGACTCTTGTTGTTGTTGACGTTTTGGCCCAGTGCGCTGATCCATCGGGCACGCTCATTCCTAAAAGCACAAATAACAGCACAGGAAGTTAGAAAAATGTGTTGGCGCTGAAAGAGTCCTGAACACTATGGAGAGTAGTAATTTGAAAACTCCTTGAACTAGACAGTACTGTGAGAGTTGCTCACTTCTAAATTGTGATTAGGAGTTTAATTATTTGGAATACATATTATAGATGTAGCTGTTTTAAGAAAACTATGCAGCTATAAACTAGGTAACATCAGATATAAGCAGCTTTGCGTGCACACACTTTGTCCCCTGTCATCGAGAGAACAGAGGTGAGTTTTCAGAAACAGAGGTGAAGAGAACGAGCATAAAGGTGAGTCCCAGGAGGGAACAGACCTGCCTTTGCTTTCTCTCTCTCTTGTTGCTTTCATGGGAAAAAAAACCTGTGGGTGGAGTCGCACAGGTCAGATTGCATTAAACTGCATCTCTCATTTCACCTGTTCTCGTTGACTACTGAAGGGGGGCGAGGATTTAAAAGAGCCACAGATGGAGAGATGAAGGGGGGTTCAGGAAATTAACCGAGGGGGTTGTTGAGGCCCCTGTGACTCAGCACTCTCGGCTTGAATCGTGCAGATAGGTACAACAATTCACAGACAATCACAGGCAGTGTGGTATTTGAGATAATAATAAACCTTGATTTGTGTGGAGGCTCTTCACGAGGGCCTCAAACCGGCAAGTCCCATGAGTCAGACCTCATTATTGTGTTCTCATCGTACACATGCTGTTTTGGTCCTTTTCAGGACAAAGAAGCTATAAAACACTGGGTGACATCATACTTCCAGAACTAATTGGACTTTATAAAACCTAATAAACTATTTATAACAATAACTTTCAGAAAATCATTAACCAACAATCCCACAATGCAACATTACCACTGATAAAGTGTGACCTTTGTAGTCAAATGATACAGTTTTAACAGTCCAAAACAAGGTCTATCACCTGTCGTTGGTACCTTCAATTTTAACCCTGTTTATTATTTCATATTCGTATTTGGTGTTTCAAACTTTCCTGCTCTAAAATCAACAGACTTAAGATTGAGCATGCATTTTATCAGTCAATTTCCTTTGAAAGTAATTTATTTGCAGTTGCATTTAATTAGAAAGCAATTGTTTATATCCAAATAAAATTATACCCCCAGAACTCTGAGGTTTAACGAAGCCAGGCAGAGACATCCGAACCCAGATCATCAGTAAGATGAAAAGGTACCGGCTAGATATTTTAGGAATTAGTAAATGTGGATGGACCAGTTATGTATGTGAAACAAGGAAAGACGGATCAGTTTACCTCTACGAAGGGGATGAAGACAAGCTCGCAGTTTAAAAAAAATAACTTGGTATCATTCATGAAAAAACTTCCGCAAACTCACCCAATTAAACAAATCTTAAACAACCAAATGTTGTGAAAGTCTCTCTGAAATGAAAACCACCTGGCAGAGAACTAAGACCGTGGAAATAATAATGGCTAGTCTATCCTCTGGCAAGGTACAACATGCTGCACCGAGTGGGACCAGAAGACAGCAGATATTAAGTACAAATGTGAACCTGCTGCTGGTGCTAGAGGAAAGGGGCTTTGATGAAGGGCCTGGTTACTTCTCTGCATTAAATGTGCAAGTTCTTCCAACATCTAAGCTGATCTGTGGGAACGGCATCTGTTAGTCTTTGCATTTGACAGCTGAACACATGCTGACAGATTCATGTGCACATACCCCACACACCATCATGACAGGTTGCTTTCTCAGGCTTAAACAGCTGAAATACTTTACAGAAACTATGCGTATGTGCACAACGTATTCAATACATAGAGCACAAGCGCAAACAGGCAACCACAAAATGTTTGAAAGGCATTTAATGGTTATTTGTGGAATGTGAGGCACATACCAAAAGAGATTCAGGTAAAAAATAGGCAAGGCAAGTTTATTTATATAGCACCTTTCAACACAAGGCAATTCAAAGTGCTTTACAAAAATGGAAGACATTAAGAAAATGGCATTTAAAATCAGTCATTAAAAAGAAAAGATAATAAAATAAACATTAAAAGAAAAAATACATGGATAAAAGTTACAGTGCAGTTTAAGATGTGAATAGTTCAATTAAAAGCAGCGGCAAAAAGAAAAGTCTTCAGCCTGGATTTAAAAGTAGTAAGAGTTGCAGGTTTCTGGGAGTTTGTTCCAGATATTTGGAGCATAATAACTGAATGCTGCTTTACCATGTTTAGTTCTGACTCTGGGGACAGAAAGCTGACCAGTCCCTGAAGACCTGAGAGTTCTGGATGGTTCATAATTTAGCAGTAGGTCAGACATGTATTTTGGGCCTAAACCATTCAAAGCTTTATAAACCAGCAGCAATATTTTGAAATATATTCTTTGACACACAGGAAGCCAGTGTAAGGACTTCAGAACAGGAGTGATGTGATCCACTTTCTTAGTGTAATGGCGCAGTTCCACTGCAGCGCGGAGCTCGCTTTAAGCGTGCCGTGTCGTGCTGTCCCCTTTTTTGGTTGTGCTTCCACTAGGCCTAGTCCCGGCGCGGCACGGCGCGGGGCCACTTTTTCACCTC